CTTTCTTTCTTTCTTTCTTTCTTTCTTTCTTTCTTTCTTTCTTTCTTCACTCCAGGCAGCAGGGAAAATTTGTCTCCCTTCCCCCGTATAATACCCAACTTCACACACAAAAAAGCACTTGAAATGTTAGATTTTTTTTTCTTCATGTAAGCACTGGCAAGCACTACATACATATGGTATAGGATGGGTACACCATCTTAGTTTAAAGTACAGGTAGTCCTCAACTTTCAACAGTTCATTTACCTTCAAAGTTACAGCGGTAGTATTACATGCTGAATACAGAATAACAGAGTGGGAAGGGATCTTGGGGGTCATCTAGTCCAACCCCCTGCTTAGGCAGGAAACCACACACCACTTCAGACAAATGGTTATTCAATCTCTTCTTAAAAGCCTCCAGTGTTGGAGCATTTACAACTTCTGGAGGCAAGTAGTTCCTCTGGCTAATTGTTCTCACTGTCAGGAAATTCCTCCTTAGTTCCAAGTTGCTTCTCTCCTTGATGAGTTTCCATTCATTGCTTCTTGTCCTGCTTTCACGGGGTTTGGAGAGTATCTTCTTTATACAACCTCACAAATATTAGAAGACTACTATCCTGTCTCCCCTAGTCCTTCTTTTCTCTAGACAGGACAAACCCAATTCCTGCAACCATTCTTCATAAGTTTTATTCTATGGGGCCCTAATAATCTTTGTTGTTCTTTTCTGCACTCTTCCTGTACTCTCAACATCTTTTCCATAATCTTGTTCTTTTTCCCTACAGAGGATCTACAACCCCATTCAGTGAGCACTGTTCTCCTTGGGATCCGATCAAAAGCTCTTTTGCATCTATTCTCCTACTGGTCTTTCTGTGCCACTTTACTTTATCCCTTTTAACAAAATCTCAGTTTTTCAGTCCACTTCCTACCAAACAGAGCAGAAGGCTAGCACCACCAACAGAGTTGCATTGTTTCTTTCTACAGCAGGTTCAACCAACCAACCGACCAATCAATCAGAATAAAGCTGGAAGGGACCTTGGAGGTCTTCTAGTCCAGCCCCCTGGTCAAGCAGGAGATCCTGGACCATTTCAGACATTCCTGTCTCTTCTTAACAACCTCCAGTGATAGAGCAGCCACAACTTCTGGAAGGAAGCTGTTTTGCAGGTTAATGGTCCTCACTGTTCCATAAAATCTAAGGTGCCCCCAACTTGGACTGAGGACATGATGATGTCTTTATTTTCTCTTTTATTTTGCCATGTTTCTATTTGCCTTCTGTTTTATTTTATGTTTTATTCTGTTTGTTTGCATTTCATTTTTCTTCTTCTCTGGTTTTAAAATGTTGATGTCTTAGGCTTTAGACTGTTTGACTTTCTTTGTTGCTTTTGCTTTTTTTTTACTTTGATGGCCACTGGATGTAATTAAATTGATTTCATACATTTTTTTAAAAAAAGAAATAGGTGGAATAAATTACCCTACTTTCTTTAATCTTACAATACCAGGAAGCAAAGTTTTAAAAGCAACACTCAGCACAGAGAGATTATGAAGATAATACCTTAATATAGCACAGGAATAATATATCTTATAGACAGTTTTTCTTGGTTCATAAAAGAATCAAATGTGCTCTGTATAGAATTAAATAAGGAACAAAATCCACAGTGTATCAAATAATCTTTTAATGAAATGCAGTTGGAAGCCCTTTCGTTTAAATTGTACTGTCAGGAACAAATTTTAAGCTATAAATTAGTGGAGCACAAGCTTCTCTCTCCCCCCCCCCCCCCCCCCCCAAAAAAAAATGCACTGCCTGGGATACAGTTTGCATGACAGGTTTTTAGCAAATGCTCCCTGGCTGTTCATCATGACTTGAAAATTGGAGTCTGTTAAGTCTCTTGAATATTGAGCAGCCGTGCTTGCCACTTCTTTGCTTTTAAAAAAAGGGGGGAAAAAAGATTTAATTCTCAAATGCAAATTAGAGATATTTAAATTGGGCAGATTCTAAAAAAGACTTGATTTTTTTTTTCAAAATTGGATTAGTTAGTATGCACTGTGCACTACGGAATGATTAATATTTAGGGATGCAACATTAGGGCGGTGTGGAGCCCACGGTAGGCAGGCCCTGCTTTGGGAAGCGGGCCCCACTTCATTTCATTAAGACAACCTTGTCCTCCAGAGCAGAGGTCTCCAACCTTGGCAACTTTTGTCTGTCGTTTGTTAGAAATGGTGTAGGGTCTCCTGCTTGGGCAGGGGGTTGGATTAGAGAACCTACAAGCTCCTTTCCAACTCTGGTTATCTGTTACTTTAAGTCTTGTGGATTTCAACTCTCAGAGTTCCTCAGTCAGCTTTGCTGGGAGCCATTGACCAGGTTTACTGGCTGAGGAACGCTGAGAGTTGAAGTCCACAAGTTTTAAAGTTGTCAAGGTTGGAGACCCCTGCTTCAGAAGACTTCCCAAGTTTCTTCTTTATATTCCGACACGTGGACAGATGCTGTGTAGTCATCTGAGATTCCACTTGGAAAAGTCCACAAAGCAGTTCTGACACTGTGGTCTCAACACCTCTTCACTCCTGCGTTTTGCCAATGTGTTTATTCTGCTTACTATCATGCAACCCACCCCTATCTCAAGCCCTTCACTGTCTTCCTGTTGACCTGCATCAAGAGCACAAACTCTGCAATTGTTTCTGTACCCGGTCATTAAAATCATTTTAACAGCACTGTTTGGCTTTTCCTATTTCCACAAATAATATATTCATCTTAAATATCCAGGGAGGAATGCCCCAGAGGAAGAAACCAAACCAAATTATTATTAATTCTCTTCCTGGGTCTTTGCATGTAGATTGTGAAATATACAGCAGGCAGAGTTCATTTATTTTCAACAAGACCTTTTGCAAACTTAAGAACTGGTGACTTTTGTTTTAATAGCAACTGAAATTGTGAAGGTGGCTTCTGCAATTTATTTATTTTTTTTAGCATTGGTACATAATTGCAGCCAAGCAAATGTCAAGGGAGATCACATGGAATACAAGAAAACTCTGTAGGAACAAGTAAGTTAAAATCTCTCTTTCTCTGGATATTATTCCAAAATAAAGGCAGACTTCTAGGCCTAAGAATTGGAGTAGTTTATCACCTGTATCAACCTGTCCAGCTTATTTCTCTTCCTATTAAAACGATAGATGTTGTCTGAGACTTTACACATGCACAGTATGCCAATCAAAATAGAAAAACCAGCATACTGGGATTTGAGGACTTGGCATGTCTCCTCAAATGCCTTTTAATCCAATCTTCTGCTCTGCAACATTTCAGCCGAATGGTTGCCCATCTCTTCTTAAAAGTCTTAGTGTTGGATCATCTACAACTTCTGAAGGGAAGTTGTTCCACTGGTTGAGTGTCCTCACTGTTAGGAAATTTCTCTCCTTAGTTCAAGGTTGTTTCTCTCCTTGATGAATTTCCATCCTTATTGCTTCTTGTCCTGCCTTCATGTGCTTTGGAGAATAGCTGGACTCCCCCTTCTTTATATGAGCCCCTCAAGTATTGGAAGATTGCTACCATGTCCCTAGTCCTTTTTTTCATTAAAGTAGACCCTGTCCAATTCCTGCTATTCTTCATTGGTTTTAGCTCAAGCCCCAAGTGAGGGAAAGAGGGAGGGAGGGAGGAAAGGAAGGAAGGAGACCAATAGGGCAACCGATAGTGAGATGGATGGACTTGATTACAAAAACAGTGAATGCACTATTGAGAAACATCCAGTTTGAGAACAGACCAACCTGGAGATATTCTGTTTTTGTGGTGGCTGAGAATCAGAACTGGCTTGGCAGTATATAATCTGGTACACAAGTAATCTTAATATTCATTTCTACAAATTATGGAAGCCACAACACTTTTATTCAAAGGTCAAAAACTGAAAACTGAGCTCCCTACATCTGGTGTTTATGAATTGAATATGATTGCAAAAAAAAAAAATCACGTTATTCTACTTAACCAACCCAGTCCTATTGCTGACATTTTAGAAGTTATTAATGAATGGGCAATTGCAATTATTGTAATTATTGTCAGGGGCTGCTTTTCGTCGATGAACTTGGTGCATCTAATCTACCAGGTCTCCTTTCTTTTCCAGCTTACGTGATGATGATTGGAGATCATATTTTTGCCATGACCAGATTCCTCCTTGGTAACCTTTCCTTTTTTGCTTTGGTTTCTTAGACAGCGTCGAAGATGAAATCGAAATGGCCACTGTGCGACATCGGCCAGAAGCCTTGGAACTGCTGGAAGCCCAGAGCAGATTCACAAAGAAGGAACTTCAGATTCTGTATCGGGGGTTCAAAAATGTAAGTGTCTCTTCTGGATTTTGCCCCCAAAGTAGATAATTGGGAAATTACTGAAAATATTTGGGGGGGCAAGATGTAACTTCATAAATACACAATGCCTATTTCTCAACAATAGTAGAATGCACCCAGAGATGTGATGGTAATGATTCGTTTCCTGGCCGTGGTTGGTTAAAATGATCTGATGTTGTGATCTCTGTGGGGACAAAATGCTTCTTGGAATACTATGGCTGAAATCGCAAGTATTTTGCAGAGTGTTTGTGGAAGGAAGGGTGGAAGAAAAACACACCAATTGAAGAAGTGCACACCCACACCCCAAGTAGATTAGACATGATCCTCAGGAATGAGAATAGAAATAGAAATAGAAAATAGAGTAGGGTAGAGTAGAGTAGAGTAGAGTAGAGTAGAGTAGAGTAGAATAGAATAGAATAGAATAGAATAGAATAGAATAGAATAGAATAGAATAGAATAGAATAGAATAGAATAGAAT